TTTTGATCTTATGATGTGATTTGATTTTGATCTTATGATGATGTTAATCTTATGATGATGTGATTTGATCGTATGATGATGTGACTTGATCCTATAATGATGTGACTTGATCTTATAATGATGTGACTTGATCTTATAATGATGTGACTTGATCTTATAATGATGTGACTTGATCCTATGATGATGTGATTTGATTTTGATCTTATGATGATGTTAATCTTATGATGATGTGATTTGACCTTATGATGGTGTTATTTGTCTCTTGTGATGACCTTAGCTTTATGTATTAAGTTGTATTTTGTAATCCTTAATAATTATACGATGTTAATATTGCTTTTCCTTTTCTAATTGGTTTAATTACTCAAGTTTGAGATGGAAATTCAAAAAAAAAAAGCTTGTAACTCTGTGTGTTACGCTACGTAAGAAACATCCATGAATACAACAATTTTCCACTTTATTAATGTCACATAATTATTACAAATGTATGTGTTGACACAAACAATGGAAGAAATTAGAAACATTAAGTTTAGTACTCCGAACCGATCGATTAAATTTTTAATTTTAAAAAATTTTCATTCCAAATTCAAATTCAGAAAAAAGCCATAAATTTGTGAAAAAATTTAATTTAATAACTGGAAGAAGGAGAGAAAGAGAAAGAGAAAAAAAAGATACTAACCAGATCGTTCCATTGGATCAATTGCTAATGTATTTGCACCTTCTTCATCGATCATATTGTTTGTTTCATTCATGATGGTATCAAACTACAAATTAAAAAATAAAAATTTAAAAAAAAAAACTTTCTTTTTTGTTTTTGAAAATGAATCTTGAAAATTTTTCATTATGAGGAACTGTTATAGTATATGTGGTCAATCTTCTTTGCAAAATTATTTGGTAGAATAAAAAATTAAACAAAAAGGGATGAAAAATTTGGAATTAGAAGGGGAAAAGATTAGACTTAATAACTTAATATTTATAAATTTCTGATTTCTTTTTTTTCCTTGATTCTTATCAGTTATAATATTGATAACGTCCACAAAAGTATGCTAAAAAAGAGTTTTGCTGTAAAATTTATCAATTTAATTATTTATTATTTAAAAAAAAAAGGGGTAAAAGAATTTACGAGATAGTTATCCCATAGTAAAAGTTGTGAATTTGATAAATCCGGACATGAACCACCAAGTGGATGTGTTTCACTGTTTGATGCATCTTCGGTCAAAGGTTGTTCGGATAATGAATTCTACAAATTTTTCATTTTAATTTTATGAAATTTGTGTTTGTTTGAATTCCAAATATTAAATTAATTTCAATTGTTATTTATTTCATTTGCAGTTTTTATGCAACAACTAATTAAGATTGCCGAGAAATTTTACACAGATGCTTCAGTGTGATGCAAAATAAACCAAGTGTTGAAATATGTTGAAGTAACCATCGAAAATCGTTTAAGCTAAACCAATACCCTTATATTACTTATCAATTATTCTCAAGCAACTTAAATGTTTTACCAATGAGTGAATAGATTGAAATAATTTGAAGCTTAATTTTTCAAATGATCTGCAAAAAAAAAAAAAACGAACATGTCTGATGTGTTGCTTCTTTATTACCAATACTAAATGGTCAAATACACCTAATTAAGTTTAATATTAAGCAGGTTTTGTTTCTGAATTTCCGAATAGATGTGTTAATGAAACTGGATGAAAAGTTCAATGACCTTGTTTAAATTCGGTTCAGAAGATGTTGCTTGAAGTTGTGCTTGAGTTGATTCATCACCGGTTACCTCTAAACCACTGCAGAAACTACCACCATTCACTTGCTGTAATTTTGCAAAAAATTTAGATTAAAGAATAATAGAAATTTTAGATTTTATGAAAAAAAAATTTGAAGTTTAATTAAAATCATTTCATAGCGTTTTTCGATTTTACTTTTAAAAAAATTTTAAATTAGGTTAAGAAAATGTAATGATTGAGTTCACCTATGCTTATCAACTTTAATATTCATTTATCAATGCGATGAATTAAAATCTTTTAAAGCATGAAGATGAAGGATCACAATCAAATTATGAAGATCGAACTTATTGATGAGTGGTCGAACCATTTGTTCAAAGAAAATTTTGAAATTGGCATAAATAGATTGTATAAAACAATCAGTTTGATGTGAATTTAGTAGTAAATCAATTTAAATTAATATAAAATTGAATATCCCATCGTTTCACGTTTTTTTGTTTGTTTGTTTTTTTTTTAAAGTGAATGGAAATTACCTGAATAGCACTCGACAAGTTAGCTTTTAGTCGTCGATGCCTTTTTCTACGTTTCTTCTTCAAAATAACTGCCGGAATAGGAGGGCCAATTCCAGCTGAAAATTTCGATTGGAATACGAAGGCTATAATAGTAATAATATGTTAATAATAATAATAGTAATAATAATAGTAGTAATTATAACAATAATAATAATAATAATAA